AGTTAAGGTGACTGTGGAAATTAAGTGTATTGCAAAGTTGAATTGGGAAAGAATAAACTAGTTTTATTTAAGAAAAGACTTGCGTCGCTAAAGTTTCATCCGAAAGAAATTATACGAGAAATTAACTAACGACCAAAGACGTAACAATACTCTCACAGCTCCTTCTTGGTAACTAGGCGGACTTACAAATCTTGGGTTCGATTCCTCGCGATGGATAGGGCACATATTTTAACATAAAAACTAGACTATAAATCTTATTATGGTAACTACTTCAAGTTTAGCTCACACCAGTAATAGTAAAAGAAAAATGTGGAAATACCTTCCATGTGAAATACGAAATAAATGCTCTACTGAATATTACTTTATTTTCTAAAGTTGATAACCTATTTGATAAAAATGTGTTCCGTGGTTTCTTCCAGCCGTGGCGCATGGAGACGAACTTTTCTACTTATTCGACTTGCAAATAGAGAATCTTCGACCTCTATCACGGCTGGATAATTTGACAAGTACCCGGATGTTAACACTGTGGACAGATTTTGCCAAATATGGGTTAGTATTTTTAACATAACTATAACATATCGAACATAACTGTAACTATAACAGAATGAACATAACCGTAGCTAGATCATACTGAATATAACTGTAAATATATTATATCGAATATAACTGTAACTATAACAGAATGAACATAACCGTAGCTAGATCATACTGAATATAACTGTAAATATATTATATCGAATATAACTGTAATTAGAACATTTCGAATATAACTGTAACTACAACAGTTCAAATATAACTACAACACGTCGAATGCGAAATATAAAAAAAACTGAAAACACACTTGGACAAATAGAGAAATCTTAGACGTTAGAGGTCATATTAGTAACAATTTGAGCCCGGCATGGCCCGGTGGATAAGTCACTCGTCTCGCAATCCGAGGGTCGCGGGTTCGCGTCCTTGTCGTACCAAACATGCCCACTAGGGCTTGGGGCTAGCAACTCCACCCCAATAACAATTTGCTACTGCAACAACAACACGTCCGTCGGCGAAGTGTTGTTGTGGCACACTAGGAACGACAGGAAGTAAGAAGAAGAAGTAACAGTTTAGTAGCAGAAAATATATTTGTCTTTTTCAGTCATTTTTAAAATGAAAGACAGCAAACAATGTGTACAATTTTATATTTAATTTTGTTCTTTTTCATAATATAGGATTCTATAAGTTGTTAGGTCGTCCTTACTTCTTCACTAGTACCCCTACAAAAGCCATGGTTCTAATTTGTCAGATCCTCCCTACTTTTTTCACTAGTACCCCTACAATAACCATGGTTCTAATTTGTCAGATCCTCCCTACTTTTTTCACTAGTACCCCTACAATAACCATGGTTCTAATTTGTCAGATCCTCCATACTTTTTCA